ATCTATTGAAGGACTTGTTGACCGGGTCGATGATTATTGTCACAAGGCCGTCTATAGAGGGATATCGTGATCAGGACATTGCTATGGTGAATAGACTCGCGATTATTCGGCCCGAACGTAACGATATTGACCGAAGTCATTCCAGTCAAGGACCTTGACATCAAACTTGAACTATCGCTGCAATTTGATTTGTCCATTGTCGTTCAAGCTACAGACTCATATTCTCCACTAGATGAACACGAACTAGCACGCATGCCTTCTTGTCCCTTGCATCCTTAGAGCCATCCGCATCTGCAGAGGGATAGCAAGGAAGGCCGGCCAAGTTTGCCAGTCGTCAAACACTGAACTGGAGACCGGATATGAATTCATAAGTGCTGCGTGCTAAGTAAGGGTCCCCTGACAAGCTGATAATTTAGGCCCGATGAAGGGTGAATCAGAATGGTTTGCAATTCATGCATGTTGTTTTCTGGATGATTCAGTGCGCTCGCTTCAATCGGACTACGGCACCTGGATGGAGTCATCAAATGCCTCATTCTGGACTGGCCAGGCCGGTCGTGGCAGCAATTTGGTCGGCTAGGATGGCGTGGAAAGCTTGAATAAGACAATATCGGATACATAGGGATCCATGTCACTTACTGCCCGACAGTGATCATGTCAAGTGCGAAGATAACATCATGTCGGCCGTTCACTATCCAATTGAGTATGAGAAATCTAAACTTGGGCTTTATGTCTGTCCTACCATTGCGTCAAGGGCTCCTGGCCAAGCCAAATCTGGGGCGGCTTTGGAATGCGGATCATCAAAGGGCCATTGCTCCACGTCTGACGTGCAACCACTGTCATGGCGCTAAAGTGGCGTGTGCTCATAAACTGCCTGCAAATCTTCAGGTATCGCCATGCATCCGATATTCAGGCCCTAGCTTCCTTTTCCGACGCATGTTCACGAGCTGAGTGCGCGCCACCGGCGACCTGCGGGCCAAAACATCAGATTGTAGGGAGCCTGTGTGCTGGTGGGTCCTATCATCCTATCTCAGGACTCAATAGCTTGACGTGTTCCAAGCACCTCGTGGTTCGGTTGAGAATTTGTCGGTTGAAATTGGAATGTCGCGCTCTGCTTTAGATATCACTGATAGCATACCTGGACCAGCGGATTTCTTTGAACCTCTGTACTGACCGACAGAAAGACTAGCACAGAGACTCGCCGACTTGCATGGTGCAGGATTATCTGTCATGATTCTGATATCAACGACGGCTCATAATTTGGTCATTTGCATCGGGTGACCCCTGTTCGGAGGAACCGAATGACAGCCGGTATGGATCACAATGTTCAAGTACTTGTTTGGTACGCGGGGCAAATCAATTCTGTTCACCTGCATGACCTGCTAATCATTCTATGCAGAATGAATCTCAGCTGTATACAGGAAATCCAATCATGAACTACCCTCGATTCCCGTCATATTCGGGATAAAAGGTCCGGCTATGACGCATTGAGGAAGCCAGATATGCAGGGTCTTCCCTGATAACGTGTAGACTCACGGTCTAGATTCATTAGAATCGGATTGAGTACTCTTTTCATTTACGCTGATATCGTTCATTCCGCACGAGACATGTGGGATGGTATCTTGCATTCCACACTCAGGACGTGGAAGTTCCTGCCATGCATGAATATGCTTTTTGCCGCCAGAAAGTTTTTTAAAACTAGATTTACTGTGTATCTTTCTCGAGGGATAAATACTGCTGCATATGTACATGGCGCTGTTTGTCACCTGCTCGCCCCTGGGATGTCAACAAAATGATTCGTTAAACAAGCTTACACTTGGACTGTGGCCCATCGTAGCCATCTTTGGGCCAAAAATACATGCTGAGGCATTATGGTATCAGGTATGAAGTATTCGGAATTGCCGGATACTAAGCGCTCTCCTTGCTGTGGAGAGAAAAGCAGTCGGCTTGGAAATAATGCCATCCATGTCTGGGAGTCCCCTGAAGCATGTTGCCTACCACTTTTTGCAAGGCGAGAAGAAGTCTAGAGTCGACGCGAATACCTTACAAGCCAACTATTCCTACATTGGGAGGACTATTGGTGAGCTATGCCACGTACGAGTGTCCAGGATAGAATTCTATGACTAGGATTCCCTGCTCCCATCGGGCGAAGAATTCCCGGCAATAAACCCTTGACTTGGCAGTTTTATCAGGCCTTCAGATCTTCAGCTACGTGTTAATTCAAGGCAAACAAGTGAAGAGTTGAGAACCTTGCTCATGTTTACCTTCTTCGCTGTTGATGCTTTAGTGGATTGTGCCCGAGAACATTCAGCGGAACCATTCGTAAGGTCAATAATCGCATCTTCAGAAGGCATGTAGAGAGGAGCAGAATTCAAGCCGTATTGGAATAACCACTACTTTAGCCATCACACACACGATTATATCCGCGTTTGGAGAATGTCCATAGTTCTGTGTTTTAGCAAATTGTATGTCTTTCTCTCCTGTCTGTGGCGGTCGAGGCGTCACCACCCACCTCTCCCTCGAGGTTTCTGCCTTGAATAACCTCTTGCTCAGTGCACCAGGTCATAGGCTCACCATACACTTTGTCAGCACGCAGCCTAGTGAGACACACACATTGTACCGCAGAGTAGGCTTCCTAGATACAGAATCTAACCGTCTCCGTGGCGCTTTCAAGTTGCTCCCACTCACACCATATTCTCTCGTTTACAGAGTACATACTCTGTTTTTCTCTCCATCCAGTATTTTATGTCGATGTCACCATATCTTCGTACGTCTGGACTGCCCGTAATACTGTCCTTTTACCCTCATGATGTCTTTGAATCTAACATTTGTGTTGGGCTGGCGTAGGGACCTATGGATATGTCAGACTCAACCTAAGTTTCTGAAGAGAATATGGTGCGGCCGTTTAGGCCCGCTGTTCTATACGCGTTGGCCTGCGAATGAGGACACTAGGATTCTACCATAGCCTGCGACTTATTGAAAGCGACGATGGCCCCAACCGAGAAGACATCAAGACTGATATCGGCTTGTCTAGTGTGGAGCGCCAGCATACTGAAGCTGAACTTTCCAGACGACATTCGCATATCCAGGGTGAGCAGGAAAGGTTGCTGGCTATAATCAGGTTGTGCCATGACATAGTTTATACAAGCCTTGGTGAACTTGATTGGAATATTCATACATCAGAGTTTGGCCCTCGCCTAAGTGATATGGTCAGGAGTCCCCTTCCCCGCACACTCTTTTTCTTAGATATGAGGTGCTGGAATATCACTGGCTTTCTGTTGGTCTCTGGTTCCATATTGCCACTACTCTCCCAGTTCTTGTTTAGCCGAATTTCTTTCCTCCCAGATTCCATTATCGGAGCCCAAAGCTGGTCAAAGTATCCGTATATGCTACTCATTCAACAATGTCTATGCGTAGGTTGTCATATCACAATGAATACGAGCATGCAGCTGTGTTCCGTCTTGGATTTGGCATAGAGCGCACTTGGCGTATATCGTTCAGCTTCTGGATACGAGACCTCTCTGAGGAGTCAAGAGCGCAAGCCGCTAGTAAGTTGATATCTCGTATTTCCTTCTCCGAGAAGCTCGCATAGCGAACCCCCAGTGTGGATGATTACTATCCTCACCGTCTCTACTCTTCAATATCGGGCCGTATTGCCGTCAGCAATGAGCATCGCTCGCCTTCCTGGGAGACAAGTGGCTGGTCCAAAGATATAAAAGGAGCACAACAGCCAGCACCAGAGATATGTTCCATCAACAACATTCCAAGACATCGCAACTGCCATCCAGACGAAGAACGCTCATTCCACAGAAACCCAAATCCAATCTCTTGCCAAAATGAAGATCACCGCTTTGATTGCTCTCGGTCTTGCAGCCGTTGTTGCAGCTTCTCCTGTCGCTGAACCAGAACTTGTCGAACGTAAGCAGCCTCAGCCTCGGTCACAGCGACAATGTCCGCTTGTATGTTGTAGTATTAAGCTGACAGCACTTCTCCAGGTTCCTGCAAGAGCAGCTGTGCCTCTCTGGCGGCGAGCTCCTGCTCCGCGTCTTGCGCTTCAAGCCCTAGCTGCTATTCTCCCTGCTACAATGCCAAGTATGCTGCTTGTGTTCGTGACTATTGCTAGAAGCCGACAATGAAAGATATGGAAGGAATTTAATTTTGGCAACTGAAGTGACCGGGCAAGGGCCAGGAACATCAGGCAGAAGTCATGTCAGTTGAGTCAATGTGTCGAGCAGGGCGGCCTGCATCCTTTATGAGAGGGCGATGCCTTGTGGGCAGGGAAGCAGATGTACACAGTGACGAGCACTCCTTCCATATATGCGATATTTCATTACACCTGTTCTACAGTATAGGGACAGTATACGGGCTTGAGCGCTGACAGTCTTTGACAGCTCGTCGTGCTCTATAGATGTAAATATGTCTCCGGACGTCGCACTCCTTGGTCCAGTGTCATAGGATCTGAACAGAAATCATAAACTTCAGAACAGATGGAAATCCCATTCCGACTCATGATCTCGACACACCACTATTGGATGTTTGATACTGGCAACCCTGTTCTCTGATAAGGACATTATGTTACCTCAGTCGCGAGTTCCTTGGTCTTCATCCTCCTCGCTCTCCTCATCCGGATTTCTGTTCAGTGACTAGTGATACAGGAAGACTGCCATGCCGCTCCCATAACTATGAAGTGATAAGGTCTTAGATTGTAGTATTGGTGGTCCGCCCCTCTGGCAAGTCCTCGTCCTCGGCCTCGGCCGCCTCTTCCTGTAAGCACAGACAAAAGGCAGGTATAAATAGAATCATGAAGATAAGGCGAATCCTTATTCATGGAAAGCGGTGTTCACAAGCAATAAATCATAAAGCACCATATCAAAGATTATTAAAGATAACTGCAGGTGGCATTCACCAGCAGTAGTCTAAGTTATTAGTCCCAGACTCAGACTATACTCTTCTGGGAGTCGGACATCAATCATATATTAAAGCCTGGCATAGCCTACTTCAACTCAATCAACGTCGATTAACCGCCGCCTGACCTTCGGTCCCCACAAATAAGGCTTGTTGCACAAGTTGAAGTCGCATAGCTCTTTGTCCCTAGTAACCGCGGACTCCTCCAACGCAGAACCAACCAGGATACCATCCTGCCACTCGAGAGGCTTAACGCGGACGAGCGTTGCTGAATACAGGCCTGCTTTCGACCAGAAGGTCATCGAATGGTGTCGTTTGCTGGATCCCCGGCTGACCAGCACAATTCCCCGGACCACTGGGTTGTCTCCTGCTGAGGTGAGAGTGTGGCTGCGACCAGGCGGCAATCCTGCAGTTGGGTCTCCTATATAAAGCAGAGGGAGGAAAATGACGCGGCAAGACTGGCCGAAGGATTCTTTGACGTAGTCAAGTTCTTGAATGGCACGGACGGCGGAGGGCAAGTTGGTGCTTACTTCATGTTCGGGCCCGTTCGTCGTCAGAGTCATGTCCCCCGTATCTTTGTTGCGGATGTCTTGGATGGCAGCGCCGTAAGGGAGGTGCATGACGCCTTCGCGGTGAAGATGCCAGCCCGACGTTGCGTATGCGGAGTAATGTGTTAGAGTGAAGTCAGTGAGTGGGAAGGATCTGGTTCCCATTGATGGCAGCATGCTGGTGAGAAACCCAGACGCGAGAGCGGGAATCGCAGGTGCTGACTCGTTGTGGATATTGTCGTAGGCCAGGAACGAATCGTGCTTGACGAACAAGGGAGATGATTGTGCTCGTGTTTCGGACATAGATCTCCACGAATGGGAGACGTAGAAGTACATTGAAGACTCAAATGCCACCAATGTTTGCTGGAGCCACTGTGGTAGAGCACCAGGAGTCAAGTTTTCGTTGGGGTTGTATTCTTGGGGAAGTTGAGAAATCTTGAGCGCAGCTAGCATAGCCTCCGCCCGTGGCTTGCTTGTATGGCGATTTGCTCCGGCAACGATGATGGCTGATCGGGATGCTTGGACCGCAATGTTGAGACAGGCCTCTCCAAAGCCCCAGTCTAGCCAGCGCTTCAAGGCTTTAGAACCTATGATCTCATCGGTCTGTCTTTTCTGCAGGGATTCGGGAACGTTTCGGACATCCTGGTCCTGACCCATCATAACATTCAAAATATTTATGTCTTTGACTCTCATCTCCGCCGCATTTCGCTGTTCGGCCGTCACGCTATGCTCCCACGACTTTTGGGCTTCATTTTGTTCGGTAAGATGCCTCTCCAATATCTGAGAAGCGGCAATTGCTGCGTCCACTGGACTCAAGACGGGACACCCGCCAACGATGGCAGAATCCCACATTTGTTGACGGAATCCGAGTGCCCAATTCATTATTTCAAGTGCTTGAGCAAAAAACCGAGTTGTTACTATTGATCTGTTCACAGTGCAGAAACTGCCAGACCTTGTCATCCAAATCTGCGCCGGAGCTAGTACCATTTCCTGAAGAGCCCAGAGGGACGTGAACCAAGGGTCTAACCGTAGTTTTCCGTCAAGTTTCTTTTGAATATGAGCCGGGAGTTTCTCGAGACCATTCAGTTGACTTTGCATTCGAAAATCGGATGAAGTTAAGATAAGCGACCACAGCAGTTGGTCTCCAAAACTTGCCATAATATGCGCGAGCTCGTCCTCAGAGTCAAGCGACCATAAATAGCCTAAGCACGCCTTAGCATTTCCGAAAATAGAAGCCTGCTTAGCGATCTCTTCCTTCTTTTGGTTCTCGTCATCTTGGTTGATGCACAGCACATCAACCCAGAAATATCGGCATACCGGAATAACGGCCATAATATCCTTCATTTGATTGAGCATCTGTCCAAAAACGCTGGACTTGATAACCGGGACATTCCAGGGAGTGCCGTTGACCGGGCCGTAGCTTTCTTTGAACCTTCCCCAGGTATATGAGACGGCGATGTAGCCTTGTTGGAGTCGTTCTGGGGTCGCTAAAACCGTTTGCGAAAGGTCGCTGTCCCAAAGGTATTTGGGTGATCCGGTTCCCTCTGGGCCTAGCCATTCATAATGTCCACTGTGGGCGAGTTTCGCCGGCAGCGTTCTCAGTTGGCTTGGTGACTGTAGGTCGACGACCCATTTTAGTTCCGCATTGAAGGCTCGCTCTCCCGTTGAGTGTACTGTGGAGGGTTCTTGTTCGCTTGACTCCTCGAGGCCGAAAGTCTCTGGTGTCACCCATTCCGCCAATCCAAGGTCGACTGCGGTACCAAAGATGTACTGTAAGTCCAGCATATCAGAGTCTTTGTTTAGTATGCCAGCCGCCACACCACTTTCTTTAAACTGCAAGAATGCGTCAAGAAGTTGGACTGTATAATCTTCAGGCAATATTTGTGAGGTCTCTGCAATCAGATTCTCCAGCTCCCTAGAACTTGACGTCTTCGAAGTGCGTGTGAAAGTATCCATTTTTTGTCTGAATCGCCTGGGATGAAAGATGTTGTGCAGAGTCATTCTTCGGGTAAGTGCGAGCCACATTTGCACTGGGAACACCGAACCCCGAGGCCTGCAGGCATTACAGAAAAGCACCTGTCGAGGTTGGAAAGACCTTGTTAAAATCTGTAGAAATGTGATGAGTACACCAGCGGTTGAGCTGATATGGACTAAGAACGCGGTCTTTACTGTATGCCACATGTATTACCTACTGCCACTGCCTCTATGAAATAGCAGTCAGCTCAATATATTAGGATATATAACACCCATATCGTAGAGATACCGAATGCTATATACTTTGACATCGAATAATCATATAGTAGCGTATACCTATTTTAAACATGTAGGGAACTACACTAAGGTATTCCACCCTTCTCATTCTATAGTTAAATATATAGACTTTAACTATTTGCTAATATTCACTATTCACTGCTATCTAAGTACTCGACATCCTTAGCACGAGAGTATTTGATATCCCTATTGTATTAATATGTGGTATAGTATAGTAGATATCTTAGAAGGTTGTTTGATGCTCTCTATCTTGGCTGAGGGAGGGCGTGGGTTTATGTAATTATGGTAAAATTTCGTTGTGTTCCTCGATGTACAACAGTACGAATAATCCGCCGTAGCTGATCCCTCAACATGTTGCAAACATCCAGTGTCCTTCTCATCACAACATCCGGTCTGGTTGGTGGATGGTGGGGATCGTGAACGTCACCTGTCTCGAGTCGACATCATACATGAAAGTTCAACAGTTAACCTTAGAGCTTATCTGAATGCGGGTTTGGGATCGGCCTTGGTCCAAAAAACCGCAAAAAAACCTAAAATCACAGTACAGTACCACGTACACATGATCGCATGATGTTCAGCCATTAAATACCTGTGCTACGTGTGAGCTCTTGCGGATTCTGCGGACAATGGGAGGGTCTTGGCTAGGGCCTGTCATAGACGGCACAGGCATGGCGCATGCCTCTTCCCTCCACCATCCTGCCCCAGGCACCCCGGGATCAGGGCGATGACTATCAACCGCGATATCCTTCTTAGAGCGCTGTTCCTCTTGGTGTTGGGACTCTGACGCATTGAATTTTTGCAAGCATTAAGAGGGCAAGCAATACCAAGAAGATTTCTACCTCTACAAGCTCCCGAATAATTCTCGTTTTCCCTTCACTACATCCACTACGGAACGCTTCTAAACTATTCTTTCGGCTTTTTTTTTTTTTTTTTTTTTTTTTTTTTTTCGGTGTATAGCTGGCCTTGTATATGTGGAAGATAGCTGCTGTTGACATCTTGTCATGGCACAACCGATAGCTAACCGGTTCAAGATTACGAAAAGAACTATTCTCTCTGTATCAGTCCGCTCCACATAGGAGCCCCAATCGAGAGAGAATACCGATATTCGCCCTACCATTTTTTTTCCAAACCATCAACAGAACGACTTGTAAAGTCTATCCATGTCGGTCATAATTGGCGCCCTCGGCTCTGTAATCGGTTATCTAGGCGCCGAAGCTTCAACAGAGTCCTTCTTCGAACGCCTTCTCTGGCCGCAGCGGTTCTACAACGACGCAGACCTGTATGTATTGATCAGACTTGCCTTTTTCCTGCCCATGTCGGGGCCCCTTCACGGGGCGGCACTTGAGTCCCTCGACACGTTCCGCAATAATGGATTGTACCTTGGCATGCGGCGAGGCGACATGCTGGGGACCACGTTTTACCACGATCTAGGGGCTAAGTACTATCATCTGACGGGTAAGAATACAGATCAAAGGGATAATGCGAAGGATTCGAGAAATGGGTTCTGGGTACAGGTTCTGAGAGAAGTTTCATGCCGGAATCGGGATGTGCACTTAGCAGTACAGGATCCGGAAGACCCTGCGGTGGATCAGATTCCGCCGTACCGTGCGATGCAGCTGGTCCATCACCTTAAGTTGCGTTACGCAAGAAATGCGGATCACGCTGGCCAGGGTTCTGTTGAAATCGCCGAGGCAAGTGTCACTTGGAGGACGGTCTTGGGAACTGTCCTAAGCGAGCTTTCCTCGATTGTCATCGCGATCACGGCAGCTGCTGCAAAGCCTTTCAAAACATATTGGTTAGCAGGTTATATGCTTGTACCATTGGCTCTGAAGCTTGTGGCTCTGCTCACATGCGTCCGCCGATACTCGATACTCGACGAACAGGAGGCTGGCGACCATCAAGGATTCGAAGACGAGCTGTACGAAAGCGATGATCCCACGCATGGTTTCGCCATAATCCAAGGACCGCCGAGAGCGGTCCTGCAGTTCTTCAGGCATTATGGGCATCCAGTAAGGGATAGTGGGGCGGCGGGCCGAAGGGACCGGATGAGGGAGGTCCTGTCAATGGCTCTCATTTACCTCTTCATGCTCTATTTTCCGGCTGGGCTAATCAGCTCTCTGTGGATGCCGAACAACACACAGTTTCTTTGGCTCAGCTTCCAGGTCTACACGATTGTAACAATGCACGCTGTCCGAATCGTTGGTTGGGACAATTGTGGGAGGACCGAGGCGCGCGTTGCGAGACATCTGGAACGGAATGAACAAGTCTGGCTGCGACGCCCAGATGGGCTAGGAATAATTGCTTCTTTGGAAACAAAGGATTTTCCTAACGTCGCCAGTGCGAAGCGGGAGGTTGATGTAATCATTCAGGGCTATTTCCGGCATCATGACATGGACGGCACGAATAACGTAGCGCAGGGCAAGCAAGGGATCGAGCGACGGGTCGAAGGTCTCAAGAAATCAGAGGCGAAACAGGCCTTCAAAAAGGGTCAAGAAGAGGAAGTGGCGAAGGAGCAAGAGGCGAGACGTGGGGTTGACGATTCTGGGTCCTGAGCTTCGAGGACGGAACAGAAAAGAAGAGGCTTGGGGATCTGGAGGCAATATGAACGCGAGGCATCATCGGACACTTAGTCCCATTCGTACCGTCGGTCGACTCCCAGCTTCTCGAGGCCCACCGTGCCATCGCATGTATTATGCACTCGGCAGGGCCGGTGAATACATAGACAGTATTCTCCGGGACTTGAAGGAAGTGAGTATGAATGCAGATAGGTCCACAATCTTGTGCATCACATCTCATTGGTTGCGTGATCAGTGTCGCTGTTTATATTGCCGCCAGATCATCCCCAAAATCCAGATTCAATGCAGCCAAACAAAGGATCATACGAGCCGTTCAATCAAAGCTTTGCGGAGACTGGAGTCTTCTTTGTCCCTTCAACGTTGACCGCGTCGAGGCCGAGGCCCGCCCGGCTGTCGTAATCCACATCACTCCAATCGCAAGGGCCAACTGTGTCGGTTTGGCCACGGAGATGTAAGAACTACTTGGAAACTGTGACTCCCAGACAGTTGAAGTGGAGTTTCTTCCCCGAGGTCTTCACTTCGTGCGCTTCCTGTGAAGCTTTAGACCATCCGCAAGAATGAGTATGGCGAGAACAGGAGCGCACCAGCTGAGCTAGGGTCCCGAAACTCTGAATTGTGGTCACTGTCACTGGCTGCCTTGAGGAAATGTCAGTGTTTAAGTTATACGAAGTTCATGGAACGGAGACTCAACAAGAGGAGAAATCCGAGCCAGATGCCTATATCGATTTAGTGCATGGAGATTGATAGGCTTTGCTCCTTTATCGCTCGGGAGTAATACCTACCTCGAGGGTTCAATATGGCAGGTCTCCTTTGCTCGGTGTGTGTTTGATGACAAGTTCCTATGGAGTCAGGCCTGTCTTGGTGCGTGCTATGCCATGGTCATTCTTTTACATACAGGGATATTTTCCTTGGGACGTCGGAATGTCTCATATCATTTTGAGCATTGTCTACCTTGGCTAATCAAATACCTCCTGTCCCTGGTACATTACCCTTCTCTTCTGATCGCCGCGGGGCAATATCTGCGTAGAGAAGACCACGGCCGCCTGTACCCAGGTACACCCGTCCATATACTCGAGGGTCTCCCTGGATGAGATTGAATCCTCCATAACGATGTGTATTATCATCAACCCGGTCCCATGTGGACCCGTTATCATCCGACCGATATATCCCATAATCGCTCTTCTCCGGATGACCAGGCGAGCCTCTAATGAACAGTGCCGGCTGCTTAGACCCGGGAGCTGCTGCACCCACCGTGAGCACGTCTGCGACTGTTCCCTTGGGCGTGATGCGCTTCCAGTGCTTCCCCAAGTCGGTAGTATGATAAACCCCGTTGGTACCGAGGGCTAGCCAGATCTCGCCTGCCCTGTCGACGCTCACGACAGGGACAGCGCCGGTGTAGGCAGGCAATCCCAGCTTCGTTGCATTAAAAGCATCATATGAGAGGCCGCCATCCGTGCTGACGTACCAGACTCCGCCGGAGAAAGCGTAGAATGTCTTCGGCTGTACGCGATCGGCGCTAATGTAAGGCGTCTGCACCGTCAGGCCACGAGGCGATGTCCAGGTCTTGCCCCAGTCGTTTGAGGCATACGGCCCGGAACCGTTTGCTGGTGGGGTCACAGCCTGCACACTCGACGAGACGACATACATGGCTGACGTCCAGACGACGTACTTCCCAGAGGCATCGATAGTCATAACGCCTGGGTTGGTTGAACTGGTGTTAACACCGGCGATGCAAGTTTGGAACTTGGTCCACTCGCTCCCTCCATCCGTCGAATAAGCCGCCTGGCCGCATCCATCCGGATATTGATGCCCGCATGGCCCACCGCGGACAATGACCTCTGGCCGCTGTCCCGCCCAGTCGAGGGTATTCAGGTTCGAAAACACAGGGAGGCCAAACATGGGCTGCGGCGTGTCGAGATCATCGTGGCGGAACCCGTTGATATCACCCGCTCCGCTGAGGAGGTGCGCTCCCTTCCGCGGGCTGATCATCGCCAGCGTGACGGTTTCCTCTATCCCTTGGGCCTGTATGTACCATTTCGGCGCTGTATTCTTATCCGCGCGGCCAATAGTATCAGTCGCCCAGATCGTTGCGCCTGTTCCATATAAGACATGGTCAGGGTTGCTCGGGTCAATGAGCACGGCTGTCATCCACCAACCGAACTTGGTCAATCCCTTGACGGGGGACGGCGCGCCGTATCCGCCCCACTGAGGTCCCCAGTTGAAGCTCAGCCAGGGGACCGTTGTTCCGTTCGCAAGTGCTGCTTCGGCGATGGGATGGCCCCAGTACCCTCCACTACCTGGTGGAGTGGAGAGCTGTGAGACGTCTTTCCAGCTCCTGCCTCCGTCGCGGGAGAGATACATACTATCCAGCGCTGGGCCCGGGTCGCGGTCGAGTGAGACGACGACAACAGTATCTGGGTCGTCGGCTGCGACGCTCAGACCGCAGTACCCACCTGCCGGGAATGCCTGGGGGGCATACGGTTTGGGTGAGGTGTTGTTAGCATTAGGTGTTATGTCCATCCATTTGGATGCTGTCGTGTTGTAGACATGTACCGCGCCATAAGCCACTCCCCATGGTCCAGGGTAATCCGCATAGGTGACGTACAACGCTCCATTAGATGCTAATACCGCCTTCATCGGCTGGGGTCCTGCGCTCTGCGGCTGTGTCTCGTTGGGATAGACCAGCAAAGACGGATCCCATTGGATTGGCTGCCCTGGAATGGACTCCCAGGTCTTTCCTCCGTCGGTCGTATAGTATAATCCGCCGGGAATGCAAGCGCCCACGTAGATAGTCCCTTCATGATGCGGATCGAAAATAACAAACGTGATTCCAATCCCATTGGCCGCCGCATCCGGGAAATTGGTCACATTCGTCCACGTCTTCGCGCGATCACTACTCTTCATCAACCCAGCGTTGCGAGTTCCCATCCAGAGCTCATTCGGCTTGAACGGGTTAACCGCGAGTCTCTCCCCATTATTCCGACCCATCTCATTCGAGCCCATCGGAAAGGGCGCCCGGTATCGCGTAAAAGTCGCTCCCCGATCATTTGACACGAAAAATGCCGAGTTGTTCGAACTAAGATACCGGCCCTGCGCTAGATATAAGCGATTGGGATCAGTCGGATCCATAGCCACGCTCTCCGTCCCGAGGAGATTCTCGTCCTCGGCGCCGATAAAATCGGTGAGCGGTATCCATTTGTTCAGCCCCTTTTCCCACCGATATGTACTACCAATGTCGGTGCGCGCGTATAGCAGATCCTTTTCGGTCGGGTGGCCCACGATGCCAGTGATGTAGCCTCCTCCAGTAATCGCGACGGATTTGAACTCGTATGCATGTTTGGCGGTGGCTGCCCCGACACTCGTGGCGCAGAGCGCCGCCAGTCCTAGCTGTGGGAACCAGTTTCTCATGATGGTGATAGCTCAATCCTCGACATTGCATGATAACAGAAAGGTTTGCAGTGTATATATGCAATGGATTAATCAGTCCGCCGGGAATTGACTCGATGAGATCACCCATATCGTGAATCTACACGGCTACCGGTCCGTCTGTCCGGGTGCTGGCTTGATCCACGAGGAGAAAGGTGCGGTGTCCGAGGTCTAAGCTGTCTCCAAATTAGCTGCTGGGAAATACGGGGTTCCCCGCAGACTAGATGCCTCCGCATGGGGTGAACATTGCTTCTATCACGGGGTATCCGCCGTGATTGGTGGCAAAACTGACAGAAGGATGATATTGCAGCTCAATCCCGGCTAAATGCAGCGAGATGAAATGATATCGATGCCGATTGGATTGATTTCTCACGCCCTGTCTGGAGTTCATGCGATTTTCTCATCAAGTTGGTTCCCAATCATAAGTTCTTCTTCCAGTTCCACACTACGAACTTAACTGGGCTCTCTCGCGCACTGCTATTCCTACCATGTCAATTATAGTAGGTTTCCAAGACATTTTCCTGCTGGCGCCTGTGCTGAATAATGTACGTCTAGATGAGAAGGCTACGCTCAATCGCTGGTACACGTTAAGGAGAAGGCGGAAATATCAAGTTTATCTATCATGCACATCTCCCATAACTCCACGCTAAAAAAACAACAGTAAAGCAAGATGGCGCCATTTTCCCGGTAAGAGTGGACTCATTGAACTTACCAGTTTCCTGACAGGGCCTGGTTATCGACCCCATACATCCCTGACTTGGCACACACTGCCAGGGTCAGAATGCAATTTCTGACACCCGGGACACCTCTGCCATCGTGACGAGGTGCTGCTCGATGTGCTCGATGTGCTTGAGGAGGGTAATCTTGTCATAGGTTGAACCTGCGTTTTCCGTGGTGCCCTGGTGCCGACGGTGGAAGTCCTAGACTGTACGCGATTAGGTCCCGAAAAATTACCTGCACGTCTGATCGTCCTACCCGCGTTAGATCCGTCGTCCGCTCCACTGCTCGAGCTGGAACTACCGGCTGTCTTTCTCCGGCGTGATGAAGGCGGAGTGGGCGGAAGCTGCACGCCGCCGTCGACGCTATCGTCGCTGGTATCGTCGGCGTCATCATCGTTATCCTCGCTGCCATCAGGTCGGTTATTGATGGCCGACAGGTTCCTGCCTCCCCAGTTAGTCTCCCAGAAGGTCAACCCAGCATACAGCTTAATCAAGCTGTGGAAGTAGGCGAAGACAAAATAGCCCGGCAGCATGACAAGATCCTGGGGCTCGCGGAGAAAGTACGGCGTCAGCTTGACCATCTTCGTGCAGAAGATCCAGGCCGCGAGATATTTCAGGTTGTCAGCGGTTCCGAGTGGGCTTTTGAGCAGCGTATACGCCAACGCACCGTCGTAGAAAAGCGCAAAATTGACGAACGAGGTCCAGTACACGGCATACACGCACCACGGCTGGGTATACCAGACGGTTCTGTCAGTGAACAAGGTGGCCGAGTTGCTTCTCCAGGTCGTTCTAACCCAGCGCAAGCACTGAGAGAGGAACTTGGGATACGTACCCAACGTCGTCTCGATCATTGCGTCGGGGCAGTACTGGATCTTGACCTTCCAACCGTGTCGGACATCCCAGCGCGTGATGAAGTTGTCATCGTCGGCGTTCAGGGGACCAAACAACCCGAAGAAGAATCTTTCGTTCGTGAATCCGGCGATGAACTCAGGATCCTTGAGAATCTCGGACCTATGCGCAGATGTGCGGCCAGATACGACATATACGCCATTATCAATCGCGTTAGTTGCACGGATCTCAAAGTTGTGTCGTTCCAGGTATAGCGCACCAAGCATATTCCAGAACGATCTAATGTTGAACCCCGTGTCGGTACGGCGGACCCGCTTGTTCGTTCCGACGATGCCCACCTTTGGATCTTCGAACGGCGCAAGGATGGTTGGGAGGAAGCGTTCGGTGGGCCAGAAGACGTGGTCATCGAGTAGGACGGTGATCTTGGTCTTCACATATCGAAGGCCGTGCGCGACCTGTCGGCGCTTGTTCGCTTCGTCGGCGGTCTTGACGGAGATTTCGGTATTCGGGAATCTCCACTTGTAGGGGGCGATAATGTCTTTGGTCAGTTTCGTCAGCTGGTCTCCAACAGTAACAATAACGATTGCACCTGGTTTGTTCCGAAGGCATGAGGTGATACACTCTTCAAAGTCTCTGTTCTCGGGATCAACGGTGGGGAGGATGATTGTGCAGTCAGACGGGAAAAGGGTAGGGTTTCTGGGGACAGGGGTAGGACGGTAGAAGAGCCAGAAAGAGATGAGATGGACGATAAGACGGAAATACCGGAAGACGAACAGATGGAGAAAAATGACCGTCATTCGGTTGTAGAGAACGTCATCTCTTCGAAGGTCTCCGGGTAGAATGCCAGCTGCCAGGGAGGTTAATTCCGTGTGCACGTCGTGAAGGGTCCGGCCGGTCGATTGCATGAAGTATGCGGTTGCTGCTGTTGCTGCCATAAACAGCCGAGGGTGAGTGATTGCCCAAGGCAATGTGACAAAGGCAAGGAGCCCGTACATTATGTTGAAGTGTTGATTGGGAAGTTTGTGTGAGGGGTGAGATGTGTTGCTTCAACTTGCTGTATTTGATGGTGTTGATGAAGCTGTAGTCTAGGAATTTGGCGATATTTGAATCCAGATGAGGGAGACAGTATTCACTATTGCGAAGGCCATTGTGAAAGGCAGTCTCTGACGGACCCATGGTGAAGTGAGATGTTTCTCTACAGAACAAAGGCATTGAGGACAAGGGTATGGAGTTTCTTACAAGTCGTTTGCAAGCACAATATGGTGGGGTAAACAAGTCCCAGAGACAGAGAGTCGACAATGAAACATCTCAGACAATGCATTATGTTCTTTGTTCAGTCATGTTAAGGAGAGAGGGAAACACAACTGAGGAACAAATGAAGATTTGTCTTTCAAAGACATCAAATGCCGCAAAGAAGAGGTCTCAGGCCGCTTTGTCAAAACGACGCAAGGATTCGGGCTACCCGTGGTAGCATTTGGCCATCGAGCACTTCCTTTCTCCCAAGAGGAGCACTTTGTTACTATTCAAGTCATGACCGAAAGTGAGGATATGGGCTGAGAGCCAATCGATACATTCTGTATCAGCACTGTCGATTGACATCGATGATCTAATCTTCATAGTTCGATCACATTGAAAGAGCCTCTCAGGAATAGCCATTGTAAGAGGAGCTCAGGCATAGGAATGTGTCATATCTGCGCTTGAATGATCCGCAAACGGCTTCGATGGCTCAAGGTCCAGATGAATTATATACACTGGAAAAAGTCTGTGAAGCTCCATCTCTAGATCTGATGCCCCGCCGGTAGTGATCACTTCAAGCTATATGCCCGTGGATTCGCTAGGGAGAAATTGGAATACCATGAGAAGTAATAGTGGAAGTGGGCAATTGTGAGAATGCAGCTATTTAGCCAACTGGTACTTAGCGGACTTCATCCAAGTCCAGCATTTTTCTATCTAGGTCTCCGTGAGCAGGATAAACTACACACGAAAGTCAATATCGTATATGATCTCAGTTCAGCAAGGTTTTAAGGCTGTCCTAGGACCTCCCTTACCTTGTCTAACTTTTCGGAGACCTTGACTTTAACCCCGTTATTACGGAATGGGACAAAGAAAGGTTGTATCTTCCTGTCCTTCTCATCGAGTGGCGGCGCTCTCGAAGACCTAGCTCAATCTGACAACAAAGGACGATATGGCCCTACAGCACGTTTCCTTTGAAGTTTGGTCCTCCTCTTTTTTTTTCTTTTTTTGTTTTGGCTGGGTCCCTGACAAAGCGCGGAGTGTTCTCTTAACTTTATCAAAGTGTTTTTTTCAGCCGCGGTGTTTCTTTGTCGGGACCTCTGGGCGGTGCTTTGTTATCGAGTGTACGCAGGCGGACTCGACGGTAGAGAATCTTCGAATTCTACCTCTCTTTCACATTTCCACATGGTCCTGGCTTGTACCATGGTTCAGAGATGTCGACTTCAAGGAAATCACCCTCGAGGTTTGATTGAAGGAGCCGGTCCTTTACTCCAACTTGAATGCGACTTCCTTTACGACCAGTATCCAAAAACCTGCAGCTCTCAAGATGAGCATAACTTGCTTGCCTGACGATGTCCTTGATGCCGCACTCAAAAGTGCAGCAGAGACGTTTATTCAGTGTCTGCAGGCAATGCCAGAACTGCAGGGAGCTAAGGTTGCAATTGTCGGTGGGATGGCAGTCCGGCATCATTTGAAAGGCTGCCGGCGAACCTTTGTGAGTGGACCGACGAACCAGATCTAACAACTCATGCTGACTAAAGCATGCATCCTGGCGCAGGATGTGGATGTTCTGCTTTTCAGACCTGACCGTCCTATTGACTACCAATTAGTGCGTAAGGAGCTGGTCTCCCGGTTCTCAGGTTTGTTCAAGGAGCGCGCAGAGCCTCTATTTTTCAAGTACAAACCTACGGACGAGCTTAAGAACAAACGGGAGGCCAAATGTTCTTATTTAGTGCAGGTGGACATTATTCCAGCATATTTGGTACATTTGCGTGCCCTGGTCAGATAGATCAAGACAAACTAACGTGATTGACGACAGCCACCGTACCTGCCTGCGCAGGCAGTGGCGCTGGAAGACGTGGACATATCCCATCTGCCTTTTGTCGACCCATTGGACCTTCTTGCCTACAAGGTCCACTGCTCCAGCATGCGTTACTGTCTCAGAAAACAAAAACCGGACGCCGAGGAGGTGGTGAAGCTCTGGCAAGAATGTTATGGCCAAGAGTATGTTCCGCTGAGCGAAGGACAGAGAGACGCCATCGCTTCGGGGGTGGATCTGATGGCGGAATATTCGAAGCAGTGTTGCTGGAGGAAATGGAGGCTGAGACAATGGGTAAATCTATGAGAGAGGCGCATCCTGGAGATGGGTTCAATGTTTAAATATATAGTATAACTGCTGGACAGAGACTGATATAAACCAATCTTACTAATAATAGCCCATCTGCCGGTGTCAACAAAGCATTTCAACATATGAGAGATCCATAAACACAGACTTCTCAATTGCGTATAAGATGATGCGCTGATTAAACCTGAGCAACTGCAAAATGTAGGGTCCATCGATCGGTGAATTCACAACTGCCCCACAGTCAACCAGCAACAGCAATTTCAATCTCATTTTAAGTGGCGGCACTTTGCAACAGAATGTTGCCATGGCTGCCCATCAGACGGAGGTGGCTGCACCTGAAGCAATGAGCAAACGAAGGAGCCTATACTTTCCCAGCCGTGCTGCGCTTTCCATCAGGACCGCAGAGCAGCAGCTATCATAGAAGCATGGACTTGCAGCAGTGAGCATAGCAGGTTTTTACTGCTATATGTCTTAATGTAGCCCAGTAACTGGTCTGTTTATCAGTCTGTCAAAGCATTATTTGACCACAGGCAGAAACAGATGTAGCAGCTGCAGCGGATTGTTCAATGGGAAATCAGGTGTCTGCGAGACTCCTAGCAGGCGTTCTACATGACTCTCAAGCAAACTCCAAGTATCCAAGGAACAGGGAATAATGCTGCTGGATCTTCCTCAGATGTATTCAGGAGCATGGAATGGGGTGTTGGTTAGTCTCTCAAGCATGATCTCGAGTACTCATACAGAATTTATGTATTTATCTACATATAGGAAGACATATGGGGGGACCCACTAATGGTACAATATGTTCGAAATCTATATATCTATGTATATTGGGATTCAATATCCCTCCTATACGACAATTCAAGATTCAACGCTAGGAATTCGGTATCCATACTGTATGGGCGACCTGATAATATCAATAATTTAATAATTTAACATCCAAATATATGGTGATTCGATTTCAATACTATATTATTTGATATCGAAGTTATTTAGTGTCTACGTATGGCTGCGGAGGGTGCGGGAATATGTGACTATGGTAAAGTTTCAACGTGTTCCTTTTGTAATGATTTGGGACACCGCTTTCTGTAGGCTGGAGTTCTTTTCACAGGACAGGGACCCGGGTTACCTTCTTGATATCGTCCATAGCTGCCCTTCCAAGGATGTAATTGCAATCAAGTTAAACCATTATACACGTTAGAGAAAATCTATATCTTATGCAAAATATGGTACATGTCTATAACATCTTGTTCTAGCGACATATGTATCCAACGCTCAGTGTATCTCCACCGTTAATCGCAGTCTACATAAACGCAGGTAGTTTCATCTTCTCCATGTAATCGTCCAACAGCTTCTCTTCCTGGTCGATGAATGGTTGAACCATTTCCTTCCCTTTGCGAATCTCCTGCAGCAATTGCTCGCACTCACTGTTGTTATCGCAAGCGCGGCCAGACTTGATCTCCTTGCGCTGGGTGAGCGATCCATTCTCACTCGCAGTGCCATTAGCAGCACCATTCGCCGCAGGCGCATTCAAAGGCGTATACCCAGACGCCTCAAACGCATCATTAGGAGGAACCGTATACCTCCCCTTCTTGAGCACATACTTGCTAATAGAGACAGCAAGCAGCCTCTTCCTTTGAACCTCGTCCGTATCGGCCGACGCCTTCTTTCCCTTACGCGGCTGCAAGAAATAGGTCACAATGTAGATCCATTTCTCATCGTAAGAGGCGATATGCGACTGAACCTCGTACTTCATGTAGGCTGGAATCTCGCGCTTGAAGCTTGTGTAGACACCGCCGAGAACGAAGTGGAGTGGGCCGCGCTTGCCCTGCTTCTGGAGGCGCTTCTCGAGGAGTGCGCAGCCCTTCATTACCAGGGAACTCATGAGGGATGTCCTAGAAACGTCCAGGTCGGAGAAGTATGTCGAGTTGGACTTGTGCATGTTCATGTCGATTTCCATGATTGGCGCGCGGGTGAAGATACTGTTCGGTTTTAGGATGTCGCTGCTGGGCTTTGGCGATTGCTGGACGGCGGGGGTCATGAGGTAGCCATTTTGGAAGAAGTAGCGGTAGACGCGGATCTGGTTGTTTTTAGTATACGCAGCAACAAGAGGAGGGTGAGTGTCTTACATGCCACACGAAAGGCAGGGTTTTGAGATTTAGCAATGCGAACCCAATTGCGAGGGCTTTCCAGAATGTGAGAGACTGCCAGAGCGAGCTGGGTAATGATAGTATGGATTCCATCTTTGTATTACTCCAGTATGTGAATGTGGAGGATACAAAAAGAAGAGCAAGGGAAAAGAGGCAAGAAGATATCCTCACTGATGTTAATTTTCCTTGACCCATATCTTATCCGATTACTCCGCAGTGAACTTGAATTCTAGAAAAATCCCAGCGAAACTGTCAATTCAACCAATCACGGATGTGTTGGGAAGATGTTGAAGATACCTCGGCTCGGGGTCAGCCAAAAACGGTAACATGTCCGCCCCTTCGGCTCCTCCGGTGCCAAGATATCGGAGTCGGGATGACACAACTTCCGCCGAGATTCTGCCGGCGGAATTGCACCACACGGATAGTTTTCAGTCCTCGGTATCTTACTAAACAGATATTGATTCATTTCTCTCCCTGTGAGACGTAGATGCGGCAAGTTGCCATGCAGCTCTGGCCTTCTGCCTCTTTAGTGTCGCTTCTAGTTTACGCAATATGTTTGCAATTACATAAGTAGGAGCATGTTATAGAGCTGAACAGCAGTGTATAACTACAATACCGAGTACAGAGACATGCTCCTTCAAGTGTCCTCTTTCCAGGCTGGTGCATATTTCTTCGACTGAGAAAAGAGTGAAGAATTGATCCTACTGTAAAGAGCTCTTTTTAAACATGGGTAAGATAAAGCACAATTTGGATTGGAAGATCTGATAGAAGGAATACCACCAGGGGACTCTGAGTAGATTTTGTGCTCTAACAAAGATTTCAAAACGCCATTAAAGGCTCAGTCTGGCTCAGCATGCGCAGTCCCTGGGGATAACAGGCGCCTGCCGTCCACGGAGAGCCAATACTCATTGTACTCGGCATATGAGTGTCCCCGGTCAAGTTCTGACTCCTCTCACTGAATAGTGGGCAGGCAACAACATACGCTTGGAGCACAGCCATACACCAACCCACTCCTATGGCCACCGACCAGGTTGCCTTCCTTAAACATCAGGAAGAGTTTGATGCAATATTGGCTCCAATTCTCCAGAACCAAACGTTTCGATACTCGCAGACGAAAACCGTGCAAGCATCTAGGCCAATGACAAACTAGTCTCTTGCGCTTACAACTCTATTCAGAGATATATTTCTCACAAGTGCATTGTTGTTGGACATGCTGAAGGATTTACTTCAGACCTCTTTTCTCGCTCAAAGCCAGGATAACCCCATCTGCTTTGTATAAGTTGCTTCACTATCGTCATCAATGAGATTGTGCCAGTCCGTTCATAGTTCTTGAAGGAAAAGTGACTTGGACCAGGCGCTTTTCGAATTTAACAGCCAACTTTGTGTGACCATAGCACTGTCATGGGCCCGTCGATGTCACGACATTGGAATAAGTACGACAAGCTTCCTCCGACGCTGAGGTTTTATGGTTGTATCGTGGACAAAAATCGTTCGCCACTCATATGTAAATGTATTCCCAAAGAAACAATTAGAGCTTATTTCCCATGTTGACATGTACGGCCTTGATCCGACTATAGGCGGCCAGACCAGCTTCACCAAGCTCCCGTCCAATGCCGCTCTGTTTGACACCCCCAAACGGCACACGAGGATCGCAGTCTTGACTACTGTTGATCCAGACCATCCCTGAGTCAATTTCTGCGGCAACCCTATGCGCCCGTTCCAGATCTTTCGTGAACACGGCCGCCCCAAGGCCGTAGATGGTGTCGTTAGCCCGGCGGATGGCTTCTTCTTCTGTCGCGAATGGTTCGATAATCACCACCGGGCCAAAGACCTCCTCACGCACGATAGCCATAGAATCTGTGGTGCCTGTGAAAACAGTGGGCTGGATAAAATATCCATCTTTGTTCCTGTCTTCGTTGGGGATATATTGACCTCCACCAATGACGAGTTTTGCACCGTTTTTCTTGGCCATCTCAATATGCGACAGAATACGCTCATACTGGGTTCGAGTTACCTGTGGGCCCTGAAATGTAGATCCATCCCACTGGTCACCGATCTTGGACGTGGTTTCGACCGCCTGTTTGAATCTCTCCAGGAAGGAAGGGAAGACGTCCTGGTGGACATAGATGCGGGACGTCGCCGTGCAGATCTGGCCTTGGTTCGACATGATGCCGAAATGCGACCATTTGACAGCTTGCTCCATGTCAGCGTCTGGGAATACGAGCAGTGGAGACTTTCCACCAGTCTCAAGGGTGATATCTTTCAACGTTCCCGCAGCCATCTTCATGATCTCTCTTGCTGTCTGTGTTGATCCCGTGAAAGCAATCTTATCGACTAGCGGATGAGATGCCAGCGCAGCACCAGCTTCTCTCCCGTATCCATTTACAATATTCACTACCCCAGGAGGGAATCCAGCCTCCTTGATCAGTTCCGCAAGCACAAGCGCGCTGAGAGGTGTCTGCTCGGCGGGTTTCAGAACGACCGTGTTCCCACAAGCTAATGCAGGGCCTAGTTTCCAGGTGGCCATGGACAGTGGGTAGTTCCACGGAATGATCTGCCCAACGACGCCAATCGGCTGACGAATTGTATACGCGAACTTGTTAGATGTCGTGCTAATGGTCTGGCCCGCAATCTTATCAACCCAGCCACTGTAGTAACGGATGGTTGTAATGGCCTCGGTAAGGTCCTCTTCCAGAGCTACGTGGTATGGTTTCCCTGTTTCGGTCAGATGCGGATCAATATTTGAAAAAGGGACATACCATTATCCCATGCATCGATCGAGGCAAGTAACTCCCGCTTTTGCTCCATCAGATCGGCCAGCTTGGCCAGTAGTATTCCCCGGTCGGTAGCGGGAAGCTGTTTCCAGGAGGGATGTACCAGCGCAGCCTTGGCGGCCTTCACAGCTCGATCTACATCCTCGGCGCTGGCTGCGTGGACTGTGACGATGGGTTTATCGGTCCTGCACCTATGTATTAGCTAAACTGACTGAGATAGCGCGCTCAAATAGAATTCTCAGGCATACGCAGGGTCAATTGAAGTGATAGTTTGCCCGCTCGACCCCGGGACAAAAGAATTGCCAATGAAGAGGCCAGTCGGCTGTCGGTAAGAGTGATAATTCGGGGTCGTGATATCGACAAAGAGGTCTGCCATGGTTCTGATTGTCTGTAAGTGTGTAGTAAATTGTATAATCGACGATGAGATTCAGAGTTTATGGCCACCGAGATTCTAATATAGGCCCGGTGTATCTCATCTAGTCTGGTGTCTGATGCAGAGAAAGAGAGTAGGTTTCTGCGGATCGACATGCCTAATGTGATGCCAGATGCAAGGGCAAATCCCTTTCTGGAAGGTCCTTCCGAAATCTACTGTTCTGCATTCTGATTGGTCATTGGAGCCATAAGGGACACAATTCACGGTCAGTGTTTGTCTATGATTCGAGATATTTCCGTTGTCACCCTCGATCCAAACACTTGTAGCAGCAGAGTCCGGAGGGAGCTGGATAAGTGAAAATCCATTTTACTCAGGTAAGGGTACTTCGGAGTAATGGGACCCAAGCTGCGACAACTGGAAACATAACTACAGGTAGGTTGAATAAAGGGGTCAAAAGACGGTTTGATATGAGAAATCGCCTATTCTAAGGAAGTGGCTACCAAATATCGCTAGAAGAGAATGCTAGGAATGCTTAATGAACCCCGTCGTCCTGCCCTACAGCCTCGACAACTGTCCGTTCGATTTCAGAACGGACAGATAGCTCTCATTAATGTCATTAATAGACGTGCAGCTGCGATTGTCAGTCAAAGACCTAAACCAAGGCTGTATAGGACTCACCCTGCAAGGGCCATGGTAATCTTCAGTTCTTGCCGCAAAATCCTGATTGCCAACTCAACGCCCTCCTCGCCGTTATACTGGATATATATTAGCCTATGACTATGACGACACACCAGAAAACAAGACCTACAGCAAGGCCCCAAATGGGAATCCTTCCCACGAAACAGTAACTGGCCCCAAGTGCAAGTGCCTTAAAGATATCCGATCCTCGCCGGATGCCCCCGTCAATTGCAAGTGGGATTCGTCCCCGTGCAACAGGGGCACATAGTCTCAGAGCGTCTAGCGTTGCCGGGATTCCGTCCAGCTGGCGACCGCCGTGGTTGGAGATCACGATTCCATCCACGCCATAGTGGATTGCCAGTTCGACGTCTGCCGGGGAGCAAACTGTTCCGGATCGTGTCAGTCAAAGGAATGCCCTGTCTTTTAAGGATGGAAGACGGCGTACTCCCTTTGAGCCATATTCGTAGCGAGGTATGTTTTCTGAGCCACGGAATTGTGCTTTCCCAGTCGAGACTTGGATCTGTTTTGGTTAGTCTGCTGCGGCAGCCCTCGGGAATAGGGATTCATACCATAGTCAGTACGGTCTGAGGTATCAGCGCCACAACTGAGGATGTTCGGCCAGTTCATATCTTCCGGAAGCGTATAGCTATTGCGGTATTCATTGAGCCTCTTTCCGAGCACAGGGACATCGACCGAAAGGAATAGTGCCTTGTATCCTGCTTCTGCGCCATGTTAGTACGTATCAACATCAGGCAGGGACGCGACAGACATACGTTCAGCCCGTTCCAGTAGCTGAAGTGTGATTGATCGATCCCGCAATACACACATCTGCATCACGTACGGGTTCCCAGTCCCCTGAGCAGCCACATCCTCCAGGGAATAGTTCGAGTACGACGAGAGTGCCATGCAGATACCATACTTTGCGGCAGCCCGCGATGCCGCCAGTTCTCCATCTGGATGAGCTAGTTTCTGAGATGCAGCAGGGCTGAATCCAAACGGAAGAGAAACCTTAGTCCCTAGGATTTCTGTTGTCGTATCAACGTGATCGACGTCTCTCAGAACACGAGGAAGGATTTTATAGCGGTCGAAGGCAGTTTCATTCTCTCGTAATCTAAGGGACATTCAGTTGATTGATTCTCGTCAAGCGGGATGATACGTACGTGATTAGATCCATTGAGCCTTCATTGTAGTAGTCTATTTGTAAATTTGTAAGGGGGCGGGTTCCACGAACAGATTGTATTTGCTCACCTCTGACCATCTTCGGAAGCTTACTGCTTCCTAGAGCTTTAAGGTCTGCTATGCAGGATACCTCGTTGTGTAGAGTCTCTCCTCGATGAGCCATCGAGACGATGATACTGTCTGTAGGCTTGTAGGGAAATATCTTGGGTATACAGTGGAGAAATGGAACAGGAGTCTTATCCGCCTTTCTGAACAGCTTGCATCCAGCCATCTGAATTTCTTATCATGTCATTTCCGATGTGCTTTTATTTGTGGCACGAACCTACCTCGGAATTTTGTTTGAGATCAGCGGAACCAATTACCCCTTCTGCATTGTTGCATGCATCGCATGACAGACTTGCGGAACAACCTTCCACAAGCACCATAATTCAATCACTAACAACATATATCATTCTGAAGGTCACGGAATTAGAAGTTCCCAAAGTAATCCGTACAGCATTGACCTTTCTTAGTGAGTTTCAGTAACCCCCTGCGATATGACTATCCCCACTCGCATTTTCCTGTAGGTGGCTTTCAAACAGTATACTACAGGGCTCTGTCACTGACAGGACTATAGCACAGGTGCCTCTGGCTATATTGGAGGCGATGTCCTGCACGCGCTACGGTCCACTCATCCCGAGTATAGCATTTCTGCTCTGGTGAGGGACACAAGAAAAGCTGCGATTCTGTCCCAAGCCTATCCAAACGTTCGAGTGGTCAGCGGTGATCTCGATTCCACGTCATTGATTGAAGAGGAAGTTCGTCTGGCCGATGTGGTAGTCCGTAAGTCATTGGTCACACCTTATTGAGGTATCGCTGATAGACCGCAGATACTGCCAGCTCAAGCCACATTGAGAGTGTCAAGGCCATTGCTCGTGGTCTAGCTGAACGCAGTGATCCCGGTAGGCCGAACAGTCGTTTTCATCTAAAGAGCGGCATGCTGACTCTACAAGGCTACTGGCTTCAGATCTCGGGCGCAAGTGTCCTTTCAATCGCCGATATTGTCAACGGCACATACGGAGAAGGAACTGACAAGGTCTTTGGCGATGTCGACGATGCCGACGCTGTCCGCAAAATTATTCGCCAGAACGCGACTCGCCGTGTAGTCGATGACTTTATTCTTAAACTGACCGTCCCCAAGACAGCTCTTGTGTTCGCACCAATCATTTACGGACAAGGTCGAGGCATCGTCAAGCAGCGCAGTATTCAGATCCCTGAACTTGCCAGAGTCTCCATCGAAACCGGACGAGCGATCAAGGTGGGCAAGGGCCAGAGCACTTGGAGCAACGTTCATATCTCCGACATCAGCGATCTTTTCGTAAAGCTGGTTGAAAAGGCTGTTCAGAAGGAGACAGACGAGCAGATGTGGAATCAGGAGGGGCTATACTTCCCCGGCAACTCTATGCTGGTAAGTGGACGGTTCTGGAGAATTTGACATTCTTCTGTGTCAAAAGTACTGACGTGAGGAACCAGAGCTTCAGCGGGATATCCCAGTTGCTTGCTCTGACGGCCCACCGTCTCGGCTTGATAGAGTCACCTCTAGTCTCTGAAATAGACCATGTGGCGGCGGACAAGTTATCTCCTCACGGGGGAGTTCTATGGGGCACCAATGCTCGCCAGAGCAGTCAGCGGGCGAGAAAACTGCTGGGATGGTGTCCAAATGGCAGGAGTCTGGAGAGTGATATTCCTGATACAGTGGAGGAGGAGGCAAAGCGACTGGGGAAACTATACATATAATGACGGAATGAAGAAAAATTGACATGGTAGTTGTAGGCTTAACTATAGAAATATGAGTGCTGTCGCGGAAGAATTAAATCACTCTTACAAGCTATCGATCCTACTTCTCTCAAGCTGCGAATCCAATACACCGTCTTGAAGGGACTCGAAGATACATTATTGAGAAGGTAATCTCCAGGGGCATTCGTTATATTTTAAGGTTTCGGATATCAAAAATGCGGGGTTAATGCTCCATTAGCTTTCAACTCCCAAATAGGCAAGTGCTTCCGATCTCGTTTGACCTCTCCGTTCCAAGGAGACCAGCAATCAATCGCTTCAAAGACGCAATCTCCTTTCGGCGCGACCGTTTGCAGCTTGGTTTGATCTATCCCTGTCCGTTTCTTCATGGTAACGACTCCGATGACCTCAACTTTCATCCTGCCGCGCCGAACTCATGCGCTAGGAGCATGTCGCACCTGCAGACGTCGGCATGTCAAGTGCGACCAAAAGCGACCTTCATGTCGTACATGTCGATCTCTGGGTGTCACATGCGAGCGTCCTGCAAGCAAAGTACGATGGATGCAGAATCCCCATACTGGCGATAGTGCAGAGGACCAACGCGAAGCCCGTCGGCATCTTTACACAGGTGAGCCTACCCGTTTTAGATGTGGGCATGTATAATGATTGCCCACTAATGCGGATACAGAGCAATCTAGATTATCTATGACATCCTCATTACACTCCCGACTGGTTTCAGGCTCAATCAATGCGTCGTTGGCTGAGATTGACCTCCGAACCAGAGACATCGACAACCCTCCCACAGGCGATATCATCGTCGGTCCGTTTGCAGTTTTAGGATTGCCCACTCCTGAGTCACAGAGGGGGGATAACGTGGTACAGCAGCAGGCCGAACAAGATGCACTGGATTCTACTTCAGTCGAGTCAGAGACTCACATTGCCCAGCCGATCAGCCCGCCAATGATCGAGGATAGTTCTGCGGCTATCGCCCAGCCGACAACATTCGCTCAAACATCTTTTGTTTCGGACTCTGTATGCCATTTTGACGATTTTCTCCACTGGTCAGATCTCCTTGGTTGCAGTCCAGATGCTCTTGATTGGAACCCTGCGCCGTTGTCAAGCGACAGAAATCTTGTAACGAACTTGGCCGCCCTCGGCTCCGATTTCGAGATAGATCCCATGCCATTTAACAGAGCTGAAAATGGCGGGACATTCTCAGACGTCCCAGATGGTAACGGCTTGTTGCAGATGATAGAACCGACAGAGATGGCCTCCACCTTGCTACATGCCGCTTCATTGACAGAGGCCCCCTTCCTCTTCAAACATTTCCATGATAACGTGATTCCACAAACAATGCCTATGCCTCTGGGCAAGAAGTCTCCATGGAAAATCCTGAATGTACCAGCAGCAATGGTTACTTACAGTGACCTGACGATACTCGGTTCCCGAAATGTCAACCATGCGCGGCAGGCTAATCTATATGGTTTGTTGGCCTGTTCTGCAGTCCATTTATCAATGTATCCAAGCGCATCCTCATCCGACACTGCCCAACATTGGCAAGAAACAGCTGAGAATATGTTTGAGCTTGCAAGAGAAAATATGCAGATGTCCATCAAGTATGAAATTCAAGAGCCGAAGACAGCCAAGTACAAGGACCAACTAATGGCCATATGTTGCTTGACTGAATACGCGGTAGGTTCCATCACGTCCAATGTCATATGTTCCCCTCCTGAAGGACAAAGATTAACGTGCTTAGATCTTATCTGGCCAACAGCACTACGCTCGTGGGTTCCTTATCCACGCTGAGTATATTCTGCGCATGCGGGGCCTGCCGAAACGACGGATCTCGCCTAAGGCGCGTCTCCTCCACCATGTTTATACGTGGCTGCGTCTTGTCGGCGAGAGTACATACGTTCTTCATGACTATCAACCCTCTGCAGCTTTTATTGAGGTCCTTGATTCCGACTTTCGCCCTCATCGACCTGATCCACCCAGTCAGATCAGAAGCGAAGCTCATCAAAAGGTCCCGCAGCTCGACGACTTTCTACGACTTGAAGCACACCATTCGGACAGTGACCTGAACATCGATGACCCCAAAGATCAGGAGACCGGATTGCATGATATTCATCTGCAGGACTCACGCAACTTTTCGGATACACTATACAAGCAGATTTACGGCATTCCTGAGACCTGGCTTACCCTCGTATCCCAGACTACGAGGCTCGCCAACGTTATGGAGACGTTTCGAGTTGCCCGTCAATCACAGAAGAAGGCTTCCCTCGAGGCATGGGAAACACTCCACCGCCGCAGCGAGCACTTGGAGAATATGATCTGCTCATTTGTGCTGCGACACGATCGCCGGATACGGCCCAAACACACGGACTCATCCAAACCCCATGAGCCCATGTTGCGAGCATTGAACAGCGCTCTGCTGATTTTCTTTTACCGGCGGGTTCGACAAGTCCATCCTGCTGTTCTAGATGGCTATGTGGAGAATGTTATTACGGCGCTGGCTGAATTTCAGGAAGCTGTACCAGCAGAGCATCCCATGAGCCCTGCAACGGCTTGGCCAATGTTCATTGCGGGGTGTGAGGCGCTTACAGCCTCTAGGCGGGGCGCTGTTCTTCAGTTCTTCAACAGGGCCGAGTCCATTTGTCGATTTCCCATATTTAAAACAGCCAGAGAAATTCTGACCAGTGTATGGAACCAGCAGGACCAGCATTTGGAGACGAAAAGACGGGATCCGATGCCAACGTGGATTGACGTTGTCAAAAGAGAGCAAATATGGCCCATATTTTGCTAATTTACTTTTATAACGATAACCTGCAACTAAATGTATTACTTGTTAACCCGATACCTCAGTTTCGGTCATATCATGTAATATTATATTGAACTAACAAGTCAAGGACATTACTCCATTGTTCATCATATTTTTCTTGAAACTTTGAAGTAGAAATCATCTAGCCTTTTATACCGTGCTTACACCCGCGTCAATCAGCAACTGCTTCAGTTCTGCCTGCAATTCAGGGCCAAGTGCCTTGAAAGGCTTTCTGAGACCCCCAGTTGCTTGTCCAGTAAGCTCCACCCCAGCCTTGACAGCCGCCGCGTAATTATGCGATTCCAAAAACCTGCAGATCGGCCAGATCTTTGTCCACAGCTCACGTCCTCGCTTCAGGTCCCCCTTCACCGAGACAGTCTCGTACAGCTTGACCGCCAGCTCGGGAATGAAATTGGCCGCTCCCCACACCCCTCCGGGACAACCGGCCGCAAGGCCGTAGAAGGTCAGTGTATCCCAGCCATTGAACGCGGTAATCTTATCCGAAAGACCAAAGACCAACTCTGTAAAGGCTGGGGCATTCCCCGACGTATCTTTCAGATACTTGACCCCCA